GGGTAACCCTGCGATGGACTAGCATCCCATCCAGGGGGGAGTAGAAATACTCCTAGTCGCTTCATGCTACAGAAACCGGGATAAGCTCCGGCCTGATGGGCCACTTGGCTCGCATGCAGACTTTACCTTTACCTAGGTAAGGGCTTCGAAATCCCAGCTTATGAGAAAAATCGAATTTTCAAAGTAAAATCAGTGGTCAGTTTTTACAGAGACAGCCTCTTAATTCAGTTTCACCATATATCCAATGCAAACCCTTTCCAAAACTTAAAATTGAGCAAACATGAAGATAAAGAAAAATAAACAAAAAGCGCTGGAAAGGTCAAAAAGCATTTATTAGTATTGTGTGAATTCTAAAAGTGATGTACTAAAAATGTTGCAACCTATTGGCTGAGCTATACTATACTATCAAACACAAGTGTGCTGAATGTCGTCTATTAAATGGCGACCTTTTTCTCTTTTCCACACAGTTCCTGAGAAGGATTTAGACATACTACTGGGCAATATCCTAGCTAGTAGAGATTGACTGACTATCAGTGTTAAACTTTTCCTGCATTTATTTCAAACCAACAGGACGAAGGTTCCATATTCTAAACGAGTGCACCAGTATATGGCAAAGCTGCGCCGTCAAGTGACACCGTTTCAGTTTTGGTATCCCTAAAAAATGTGCTTCCATAGATGTGCTTAAGTTGTTACAATTTAGTGTCCACATTGTATTGATACTAATGGTTTGACTTGGTATTCATTGAGGAAATACATTGAAAGCAACTGTTACTGTTTGTGTTTGTTGTGCTTCACGTTGCCTTGGTGATCGATTAAAAAAGGGCAAACAGGGAACTAATTGAACCCGTAGCAAGTTTTTAGGTTGAATTGTCCAGAAGTCAAGTTCTAGCGAGCAACCCTCTAAGTTTAAATCGAAGTATGTTAGAAACAAAAAATTAAAAACAGGATGAAGCTTAAACAAAAAAAAAAGGTCATTTATAATTTCTAACTTCGTATCGAGTGTTAATTTGTGACATCAATAACAAGGATGACCTACAAGGGGGTCAACTAAAACTGTAAATTTTCTTCAAATTAAAACGATTTTCTTAAGGGTTAACCTGCATGTATGCTTTGCTTTAATTTCACTTGGTGCACTGTAATTAAGACGCATACAAAATCACGGAGTCGCGTTGTCTCGTTGTCTTAATAAGATAGTCTGTTTTCCAAATATATCCTCCTTTCGACAACCGTTTTAATTTACCTTATGTCATACCAGTTTTTCTTCCAAGGAAAAAACATCTCCTTCTTCCTTTTCGTCTGTTTTCTTTTCTATTACACTGTACGATTTTTCTCAATAATTAGTATTTTCTGGCAAGCAATAGTCTTGGTCAGAATTGCAGTGATGGAAAGAGGAAAAGTACGACTGTACCTGACACTTACCTGCTGAGATGATAATGAAATAGTTGGACGGGTTTGTCAACCGGTTTACTTCGTTTTAGAAATAATCAATAATTTTGTTCAAGACTACAGAGCGTTTAGTATCATAGAAAAAGAATTCGTTAGAGAATATTGCATTCCAAAATGCAAAACAGCGTGAAATTATATATCAGTTCACTTGCTACCAGCTTCATGGAAAACGGCTTGACCTGCTCATTTAATTGTTTTTCGCATAATCAACGAAATTTAATTCATAAACCAGACGAAATTTTGGAATCTGTTTTACATATTTTAAATTAGTTTGAAACACGTTTAGTGTATCGAAGAATGCTGCCGTTTGTGCTCTTTCCTGAAAGGAAATGACAAGCAAACTTTACATCGCTGGTACCAGAAATGAATGTGCCATGTTAACCCAATGAAATTCCTTCTCGTGTGATTTCCATGACCTGGTTACTCGAAGCGTTGAAAATAAAAGAGGTGGGGACAGACATTGAATGGAGCTGTGATGTAAGATTTATAATTTCCTCGCATGGAAACGAACCTCCAACAAGCGATCCAGAGGTAAAAATAATTTCAACCATGCAATTTTTCCATTAGCACCCAGTTTTAAGAAAACATGGGACTTATCTAGAAGGCAATGAAACCGAAAATCCTCGTGAATTTTTTATTTTCTTCTGTCATATTCTATGCCGCGGTAATTTCTGAGGGAATTGTTCAAGGGAATAACACGAAAACCTCGAGGAGTTTCTCAAAATTAAACACGAGTGGACGGAAAGATGTTAACTTGAAAACTAACGAAGTAATTTCTACAAGAAGGACATCGGGAAAGCTACGTGCAGAAGGAAGAGTCTCAAGGTAGGAAAATGTTATATTCTCGCAGTTGTCATATTTTCCCTATCCATTGTGAAAATGTAAAGACATTGGAGATTATGGTTGTGTATCAAACATGACAGACATAACAAATAATCTGAAACAGTGAGCGATGAATCAAAATTAACAAGCGGGAAAAGGCTGGTTTGAAAATGTTGTCAAATATAAAAAACTGAATGTCAAGAGATCATCGACCAATTTCATCCAAAGACACAGGAATCACTGACCTGTAGAAAAAGGAGAGTCTGGTTTTGTTATACTACATACTTTTAAGTCTTAATTCTGATTCAAGGTAGTAGCCAAAAATGAATTATGACTGAGGCAATGTCTAAGGAAGAAAAAAATATGACTGAGGCAACTCCATGGTGACATTGTCTTCTGATGGCTAAAAAGAACAAAAACCGGGAAAAAAATGACTGAGACAAGTGCCTCGATTTGCCTGTTACAGGCTACGACCCCGGCTGTTGAGATAGGAGAGCCAAGTCTATTCTTTTCTACATTGTTGGTTGATCTTCATCAAGCACATCTTTCAGTTCCGTTTACTATTGGGGAGCTTGTTGTCAATAAGGAGATCTTTTCGTACGTCTGTACAGTTTGATCTCCGCATTGGCAAAATCCACTCGAGAAAGAAATTTAGTCTTGCAAACCTGTAACGACGGTCTCATGTAATGATTGTAGCAGATGTTGATTAGGAAACAAATTGGATTATCAAAGAGAACTGTTCAAAACGTGAAATCTACAGATGTTTGTATGACATGGTGGCTGGTGACTGGGTGGCAAGTATCAACGTGCTTGGGATGGTATACATACCAGTTATGCAACGCTTTCGAGTGGTATACCATGGAATATCTTACGAGTCACTTGTATTTTTTAGGTATACACACGACCCTTTAAACGAGTGTGTATACCAAGAAAATACAAGTGACGTGTGGGATATTCCATGGTATACCACGAGAGAGCGTTGCATAACAGTTTTATGCCAAGCCATAGAAAGTCCAGTGGGCAACACAATCAATGCTTGGATGTATGTAAACCGGATGAATGTTTTAACTTGGAGATGTAAATGATGATATCAACAAAGATTGATCTAGTGTCTCACTTTCAAGAAACGAACGGCCAAGCGCATTTACAGTTGTGTAAATAAGAAAAACTGTGTGATTTACGTACGATCGGCATGGTGACGAAAAAGGTAGAATTGCAGCAGCCTGGTTCTGGATGAACATACACTGATTAAGGCGGCTAACAACAAAAACAACAGCAACAACAAAAACAGCAAAAACAGAACTCGGTAACCCAGAGTTCAAATTTAAAATAAAATTATCCCGAAGCGTTTCCCAACCACCTCAATTTTCTCAGAAAATGTCATCGTAACATCATCGTAAATAAATTATCATCATTAATTATTGATCTTTCAAAGAATAAGTTCTGGAGACTGTTGCCAACCACCTTATATAGTTTTATTTTAATAAAAGTGCTGGTATAGGAGTCAAACATTATCAAAATACTAAAGATGGTCATTCTTCATATTTGCAGACCTGAGTCCATCCCTAACGCAGCACAAAGCAATGATATAGGGAAAACTAAGGGGAAAAGATATGGTATGGCGTACTGAAATAACATAATTTTTGGCATTTGTTCGTTGCCAGGTTCCTTAATCCTTGTTTAAGTATAAATTTGTTTTTTTCAGGATGCCACATTTGCCATGGTTGTCAGCCATGTGTTGGTGGCTGTATGCCACAATGTGGATGTGACTGTTGTCACCATGAATGCGATGGAGGTTTGTCAATTTCTACCCGCATGACCACTGATTGTGTACACTGTGCATGACGACTTAGAAACTCAGTTCAACTGTTAAGCTTAGTTTGTACGTATTACCAAAAGCATAAGCATAAGCTCAAGCATAAGCAAAAAAAATGTCACTTGTAAAGCGGGCGACAAAAGCACAAGTGCAAGCATCAACTTAATCACAAGAGAAGAAAGTCTCTTTTTCTTCTTGTGCTTACGGTTGCCGTGGCGCCTGTGTGAACCGGGATAACGCAACCACTTTATCGTGCCTTTATCATGCATCTCGCTAGTCGTTATTAGCTGGTTTGCGCGTACGACGCAAGCATAAGCACAATGCTATTCAAAATTTAGACACCGTCACCTTGTGCTTATGCTTATTGCAAGTGTGAACACACTTGCGCTTGTGCTTGCACGTTTGCTTATGCTTATTCCGGAGTACGTCATACGTGTAAACCAAGCTTTAACGACGAACTGAATGCATGCGGCATGAAATTGATAAAATCTTAGATAGGATAGCTAGCCGAATAGAGTCGATGGTCCTTGACGTGACAAGGGAAGAGGTTATACCAGCGTGATATTGAACCTTTAGATAACGTTAGGTTGCGTAAAGCTGTAAAAATGAAATAGCCTTTTCGAATCGTGTGATATTTTAGTAAACAAAGCGTTTTCTAAAGCTGTTCATGCTGTTCATGCGTTGTTTTCTGTTCAATTGTTAAAATTCCTGACTAAAAAAAGTTAAAAATATATTTTTCCACAATTGCTACGAATCTCGCGATCTGATTGGCTAATTTGCCGTTGTTGATAAGAGTCCAGATAACGCTGCTCACGTCGATGTGTCACGCAATGCCTTTTTCAGCTCTCGCTCTGAAAAAAAACCCATTTTCTTTGACGTTTATATGGTGGTAAAAAACAAATCAAAATGTGGTTTAGGGTGGTCTGTACTCTTATCGACAGCCGGATACGCGTCATCACAGTGGTCAAAATTTTGTTGTGGACTGTGATGACACGTATCGTTGTCGATAAGAGTACAGACCACGCTAAAGTACATTACAACAGAAAGGCATTTTTAGACACTAGAGCGCAGCAAAAAAGTCCAGGCTGCTCATAAGCTAAGAAGTAATCTTGGAAATAGACAAAAATTGCGTTGCACCGAATGTGAAGAAAAAAAAAAAACAGTCTTCTTCATAAAGGTGGAAAAAGGGCTCATAAATAATAATTACTGATTAAAAAATTGTGGTGGAATAACATTGTCCATCTTTCAAATTACTGCAAGATGAACGTGTACTGCATAAATGCATCGGCTGAGGAACTTTTCCAGAAATGTTTGTTTTCAGCTTTTGAAAGGACCATGAATTCTAAAGGAGAATTGTTCCCCTAAGGCTTAAACCGAATGTCAATCCACATTGACATCATAGGTCTTTGCGATGGAAAGTTAGATTGTATAAGAAGGCCCTGCACAGAAATCGCAATAAGTTGCACATTTATGCAGCGTATTTGTTTATCCATTAAATCCTGTTTTCTTAGGTTGCTGGTGTCCTATTCCTGGTGCAGCGGAAGAAGAACCAAAGAAGAAACCGGAGGAGCCATGCTGCTCTCCGTGCTGTTGCCCTTGCTGTCCTACCCCATGTTGTCATCAGTGTTGTCATCATATACATCATCATCATCATCACTGCTGTCCTTGCTGCCACTGTTGCCACTGCTGCCACTGCTGCCACTGTTGCCCATGCTGTTGCCATTGCTGTCACTGTAAGCGATCTCAAGGCCCCTTGTCACCGTCCTTCTTCAGCAGACCAGTCTATCTCTACATGTTTACTCCGTGCCCTTATTTTAGTGGGCCTTACAATGGCCGCGCATTCTCACTGGTACGAGGTGGACCTTTAAGGGTGCACTGAGAAATCAAAGTTTTAGATCTGAAAATTTGATAAATAACTTGAATGGACAAATAATGCGTTCACAAGTTTCAATGATAGGCATTCGCCATGTAGGACCATGTAAGCATCATCATTCGCCCTATAGGTCACTCGCACTTTAAAGACAATGTCTCTCAAATGATCTATCCTCGAGGAGTAATAAAACTTTGTATGGTTCTTAGTCACAGATGCGACAGCATGACCCATTTCTTGAATATGTTAACTCCTACAGGATGTTAAGAGTACTCGTGGGAAAGCAAAAAAAATAATAAAGGCCCTTTTAGTTGAGGCCCTTATAAACTGGTATGTTTTAAGGCCAAAGCCGAATGTCATAAATTGAAAATATAATTCATTCTCAAATTTGTGGTTCGAGAGGTTTTAAAGAGTACTCCTTAGTAAGAGTGTAACCGGAGGCCAGTTTAGTTGCGTTCTGGCGAATATTCTGGCTTGTTTGAAGGCTAGTTGCTTAAGCTTTAAATTAATGAACAGAAATTAAAATCCCTTTTTAATTTGCGGCTTGGGATATTCAGTATTCATTTTCTTGTAAGACAACTCGTGTCGATGGGGGACAATGGTCTCAATGGTGTTTCATAGGTTAATATTTAGGTTCTAGAGCATTATAAGCACCGCAGTGTTAGGGATGCATTTTTTAGGTGAACCATTAAAAAGTACAAATACTTACGGACAGCTTTTGTTCAGACGCTATTATTTTAGCTTTAACACGTACATTAGAAGTAGCATTTCATATGCTCAGTGCACTACAAAAAATCATCACTAACACCATGTTGTGGTAATTTAGGGAACTGATTAAAATGCGCTTTCCGCGAGACAACGAAATCATTTTAAACGTGGAATGAACGAGACATCAATGCCTTCTCGGTTTCGATCCTGGCTTCCTTGATGTCTTGGACTGCTTTGCATGACGTGGCCATGGCCATGGATATACATACGTCCATTGCGCACTGGCGTAACTTTTTACCTCCTTGTAAGCGTGATGTCTCAGTTTGCGAGGAATTATTTCCCTGTAATAAAGATCTAACAATGAGTTAACTGGTCAAAATTTACTATTAATTTAATGCTAACGAGATGCGAAACATACTGAGTTAACGATGCATGCAATTCAGACTCAGGTTTCCATCAGTAATAATAAAACCTAATCAAACTTTTTCAAGTTGTTTGCAAGAATTTGAAAATGTGAGCAGCATGGAGTACCTTAATTGCAAATTTGCTAGACGTAATGCTACCTAGTGCATGTTTTACCTCTGGAAACGTTTACGAAAGTTATATGTATATCTTATCAAGATGTCCAGGTTCGAAACCTAACAGGAGTCATGCGTCGTATTCTTGGGAAAGATATTTTATTCGTACAGTGTCTCTCTTCACCCAGACGTATAAATGGGTATTGGTGCGTAACCCTGTAATGGACTAGCATCCCGTCCATTGGCGAGTAGTCTGTTAGTCCACTTAGCCTGGCGCAGACTTTACCTTTATCCTTTATATGTATAACGTGCCTGCAATTTTTGCCACAGGGTCTGGTAACGGATAACAAAATCCTATTCTTGACCAGCTTGCGGACACAAATTGACCACTTTCTCACATTATTCAACAGAGCACAATACTGGGAGTGAATTCTGCTGACCATGAAGTCTTCAACTAATTTTGACTATCAAATAAGCTGTTTCGATTCGTTTTTAATCTGATAGGCCTTCTTTTCCAGAGTTAAAGTCATTTAACTTACCCTAATAAGAATGCTGGAACAGTTCCCAGTTGCGGCCGAATAGTTTTCCTCCTCGTTACCATATCTTCAGTTTCCTTGTGAAATTGTCCTTGATCATTTGTATCCACTCCGAAAGTCATGAAGAAAAAAATAAAACAAAAAAAAACAAAGCGACCCAATTTCTAACGTGGATTGCTTCGCATCTGCATAATTAAAAACTGGATCATTGGATAATTCANAAAAAAAAAAAAAAAACAGAGCGCTTAAGACAATTGCTGGAATAATTTTCGTCATTTCAAGTGATTTAAACTTCTTATTATGTTTTAGTTAACTCTGATTGTCTGTTCATCTGTTGTTATGGGCAAGTCATGTATTTCTTTACACTGGATTTCTAAGTGTTGAGGTGTAGGGTGTGCGAAGGTGTCTTATTAGAGTCTTGTACCAGTCCTATGTAAATACAAGCACTGATATAGGAATTTGATCTCACTTGATACTGATTGATTTATTGTTTTAAATCAGCCACTATACTGCACTCAGAAGACTCAGACATTAAAAAACAACCCTCTAAGATCGAAGGGATGAGTTAATTCTCCTCTTGTATGGTTGAATCTTTCACACGTTTTCTCTTCCTAGGTCAAATGATAACGACAAATTAATTAGATCTTTGGGATACCAATCGAAACTTGTAACCAGCGCACGATGTATTATCGTCGCCTTTTGCTTGTATCTTAAGCTAGATTATCACTGTTTTCGTTGATAAATTGAGAAACTCTTAGTGTCGATAATTTGGTCAAAAGTTAGACAGAGTCTAAGAAAATCATCGTCCAAATCTACATCAGCCATGATGTATAAAAATTTTGCGTTTTTTTTATTTCAGTTTCACAACTGGCCTTACATTTAATTGAAACCGTAATGTGGTGGTCGGATACAGTTAATGCGCTCTCGTGCTAATGCAATTCACTGCGCGCACATGGCACCGATACGGCGATCATCCTATTCCTATGTCCGCGCAATCTGTGCAATGTTTGTTCATAAATGATAAAGTGAGTTGCAGCTTTTAGTCAGGCACGTTAGAAAAATTGAAGATGCAAGATTCCAGCATTTTTCAGCCAATCTCGTCCCCATAATCTCGATCCGTTTAATTAGTATCAAGAAAATGAGACCTCTGGGAGAGATCGGAAGCTGAGCCAGCATTAGTTTCAACGGTTACACTCTCTCTCTACACATGTTCAGGAACCGTTATTGAAGTTGAACGCATGTGCACAATCAAACCGGAAACAAGATTTTCTGGTTGCGGTTTTTAATTTCGTCTAAAACATCGCGCCTTCGGTCATTGTCGACCCAAGACGCGCGGGCTTTGGAAACGAGATTTTTTTCACTGTGTTTCTTTGTTACTGGAAGAACCCAGCTAAATACAGGGCATATGCAGTTAGTCAAAAATTGAGACTATTGTAATGGCTTTCTCGGAAAACACCCCTCGAGAAACACTCGTTAGAGCTTCAGGAAATTTGGCGGGAAAATACTTCTGAAAAAATAATAACTGGATTAATCTGAAAAGACTGACATTACATCATTATCTTTACTAACGTCTTGCGCCGCAGATTGTATTGGGACAACGCCGTCTACCGCATTTTAACCCTTAGATAATTTTCTTTCATTTTAATTCGTAGTATATAGGTATAATATAGTATTTCAAAGTTTTATCGTGTATATATCCATTTTAATGTTATAGCCATATGTTAGTAAATAGCAATTTAGATCAAGGGCCACAAGTTTATTAGTTATACACCGTTAGGGGCAACCCACGGTAAATAAATTGTTTTCTTGCTCGCTTACTTACTAACAGAAATGATATGTCAGACAAACCATAAGGTGAACTGGCAAAATCCCTGGTAATAAATTATCGACTAAAAACAGTTAACTTTAACAATATTTGCACGTATTTTGTGCGGTTTTTCGAAAGAATAACCTCATAGTATATAACTTTAAACACGTTAATAGACACACGCTAAATCTGAATTAACTTCACCACTTTCTTGCCAAATCGTCACGAGAAATAGCGCAACCATGTCGCCAAAAAGGCCAAAAAAATTAAGTACATGTAGTTTTATTTTCTAATTTTCTTCATGCATCACCGAAGACAATTGAATGCCGCTTTTAGGAGGAGTTGCAGGGGAGCTGGAGGTGTAAATATTAATCGTTCTAACACCACGCCCTTTCAAACCTTTTCAATAAGGACTTAGGACTTTTAGCTTAAAATGTTTTTCTACTAAGTTAAGCCACGAGAAAAAAAAAAAAAAAAAAAA